ATTTGCTTTTAAATTAAGAATTTCAGTAATATATAGTACTAAAATATGAATTATAATCTACAGTTTGATACCAAAGTTATTGACATAGATTTATGAAATAGTAGTTCAATAAAATTTTGAATGCAAGTCAACAAACAAAATGACATGGCCTTTCACCTGTGACCTGTCTTGAAAAGGTTAACAAAGATCATAAGTACCCATAGAGAGTAAGAATTACTTTTTTAATCCTTTAATTTAGAGTATTAGTTTGCTTAGTTGTTTTTGCCAATCTGTATAAAAATGTAAAAACAGTTAATTTCTTTTAGCATGTCTAATACTGGTTGTATGTGTCCTGAAGTTTGAAAATTTAGGCCTAGAAATATACCTTCTTGAATGAATTTGACCAAGATTTAGAAATCTTTGCAAATATCTTTAAATCTTAAAATTAAGAAAATTAAATAACATTGGTGTTAGTTAATTTTAAAAAATACAGTACATTTCTTTAACTTCATCCGCTTGGTTGCTCAAGATCATTATTCTGAGTCGGTATAGTTTACACTTTTAAACTTGGAGGCTTGTAAATCATACTTCCCTGTTATTTTATCATTGAACAATCTTCATAAAGATACTTAGTATCAACCTCATAATTAGTGAAAACATGTAAACTTAAAAATCTGTGGATGGATAAGTATGATTTGTTGGAAAAAATGAAAAGTCAAATTAATATTGAATGAGTGGTATGTAAGACAAATTCTGATTTTTGTAAATTGTGGGACTTGAAGAGGGTTTATGGCCTATTAAGAATGTCCTGACTCTAAACTTCACACAGTAAACAGAGAAATCATTGCTACATCCACCCACCCCCACCCCCAGATATTCAAACATTTTATTAAACTCCTGTAAAGTAGCATCCTTGACCTTTTTTAGATGGTAATTTCTTAAACAAACGATCTTTTGAAGAGATAAAACTGCTTCAAATAAATATGTCTGACCTTTCCAAATTTTTGTTTAATCCAACATGAAAATATCTGATGCATCTATCATATTACTTCCCTTAATAAATTGAAATACTTCACTGTGACCCATCTCTTTCAAAACGAAAACAAGTTAAGAGATTCTCATCTTATCCTTATATAATGACATATTCATTTACAGAACCATTCTAGCAGACATCCTGTGATCCCTAACTAGTGAAACATGGAAGGATTGGCAATTATTAGTTAAGGAAAACAACACACTAGTTATTATTAAGCAGTTGAAACATATACAAATGTTCAGTTACTATCCCTTCCTTTTACGTGCATTAGTTATGCATAATGAATCAAACAAATCTGAACAGGTTAAAACACAACTAAATATTAAATAACTTAATACCAGGGTGAATAATTGTAATTTGTATCAGACATAGAAGAATTTGAAAGAATTATCCACACTGAAAGAAAATAAAATAACAATAGTTATTATAAACAGTTGAAAAGATATATAACAAAATACATTTACTGTTGCCCTTTTTAATGCACTGTGCATAGTAGATCAAATAAAACTGAGGAAGTTAAACCACACCTAAATACAGAGAGTTGAATACATTATATTAAAATGATTTTGAAGCCTCATTATGTTCCAATGTCCAGTCATGCTTCATCTGATGACTGCTCATCTTGACATTAACTCTAGCATTGTAGTTTCCACAGCAAAAGGCTCTGTCATAATATTGCTTTGTCCAAAGCACAAACTCTTCTGTTTTAGCTTTCCATAATGTATTTAGTGTTATTTATTTCCCAATGCCTGTTTTAACAGTCTAATCCCTCATAAATGTGTAAGTACTGCATCCTGCAACTTGAATGGTAGGTCTTCATATGGAATAGCATGAATATCTTTATTCATTCTCCAACTGCTTGAGGTATGCAATTGATGAACAGGACGTATGACTGGAAGCCTAATCTTAGTGAACCCATACCTTGTTGCACTTGTTTACAGATGGAGATCCTTCTTGATTATGTTGCATACTGTTGCCTGGAGCATGTGGATAGCTTTTGACACTGACCTTTGTGTTCAAGTATTTTCACTTGTTACAAAATACCACACTTTGCTTACCATAGCTTGGGTGTGATTTGTACAAAAGTTTAAGAGAGAAATTGAGGATTTCCTAAAAAAATAAAGTGTGGGCTTAGATTTATACTTTTCTCTTGTTTTTTTTGTACAAGAACATCCTTGAAGAGCCAAATGGTTTCTTGTTGTCCATATTATTATAGGTTAATACCCTTTAGAAACTAATCACAAATGAATATGTTGAATCTAAATAATAAATCTCACTATCAAGATGGTGTTATGTTTCATGGATTCTAGTTTTGAGCCCCAGTCTGGGCAAATTACTTTTCATTTGTTTCTGATTATTACACTATTTATATATATTATCATCTTGGGTGTCTTTATTCCGACTTCCAAAATTTTTGTATTATATACATTACTAATATGCTTAACATGTTTATCAGCATGATATTGTTTTAACAAAATAGTTCATTTTGATTTTATATTTTATCTGCTTACATACTTCGTCAATAACTATCTGCCACATAGACCAAAATTTCTATTATTTTCTTTGTCTACTATAGATGATTGCTTTTTTTTGTTTGACTATTAGTTGGTGTGTGTGCCAGTGAATCTATTTTTAGGTATGCTACAATAAAGCATAAGTATAAGATTTTAAAGACAAGATATACTTTCAAACAGTAAATTGGTTGTTTAAAAGTTATGATTTTAACACTAAAAAGCTGCCAGAGCATTATAAACCACTTAATAAAACTTGTCACAAATTTTAGGCCTATTAGTTTTTAATGTTTCAGCAGCTTTTTGCACTTCAGGGAATTTTATGTCTCTCATTGTCCATCTCATCTGATGACATCTGGGAGACTAGAGGTAGAGCTGAAATGATATTTTTTCATGCCTCTGATTTTGAGTCCACAATGGATCAATTGGGAGGAATATGGGAACAAAAAACATCTACTTTTAACATAATTTTTATCACAAATTTTAGTAATTGACCATTGTTGTTACTTGTGCTTCAGGATTTTTAATTTTCTTGGTAATGTTACTTTAATTTTTTCAGGTTTTAAAAATACGTTTTTATTTGTTGTGCCATCTTCTAATGGTCAGCAAAGGCAGACTGTATCTTATTGAAAGTTCAGACAGCATCCTTAGTATGTATCGTCCTCTTGCACATCAATTACGTAAAAATGTCTTTTAGTTTCTAAAGATACAAGTAATTCAATAATTATGCACTCATGACAATTACTCCATTAAACCTTTACACAGAAGGAAAGAAACAATTAGTTTCTATCAAAATATAAGACTGGTCTTTTTGGTATTACAGTAGATACATGATAGTATTCGTTTAAATATCCTGTTGTTGGTATAACTGCTTAAAAGTCAGTTTAGGGCTGAAGAAATTAAAAATTGTATATCTGGTAAACCTTTATTTGTAATCTAGCATATGTGAAGTAATCAATTTCTTGCTTTGTGACTTAAGTTGCTTGTCATTTTTGCAGGTTTGTTCCTGAAAATTTCTGCATATTTATAGCTTGTTTAACTAAAAAATATTAAGTTATCATCTTATTCTCCAGATTCCTAGACAATATCACTCTGATATTGGGTTTTATTTTCAAGTCAGTAAGCATTCAGATGTTACAACCAAAGTTATAGCATTACTAGGCTAAGTTTATGAATATTAAAGCTCTTTAATTTTCCACATACATTGTTTAACTTCTGTGATTATATTTTTAGGCTCTTGCTACATTAAATGACAATATGTCCATATTGTGTACTTTTGTTCTAATGAAGTTAACCTTAAAAGTATGTATATTTATGACTTAGAACTTACATTCTATAATTCTGCTTAAAAGTAGATTATCTGTTTGAGAAAGTAGTGTAATATTTGTACTTCTAAAATGCAATTTTTTTAGATAACAATATTTAACATTTAAAATGCAAAGGATTATTTTATAAAATAATAATTTCATTATGATAAGGTAACCACTCTCTCAATTTAGACAAATCATTATAGTTTCACACTTTTTTTACAAAAGTAATAGAAGTTCAAGTCCATTATTCTTTTGATTAAATTCATGTGTTATTACTGTTGTTTCGACCTTTGATATACAACAGGCAAATAAGTCATAAACAAAAAAAAAAACATATATGATTATCCAATTCATATGGATGTAACGTAAATAATACTGTAACAAAGTGAGAATAGTTTCCAAGGCATTATGATAAGTTAGCACCCTCTAAAAACTAATTGTGAATGATTACGTTTGCTTTTAAATAATATATATGTTCACATACATTTTCCATACATTAATTTTAATTACATTAAATGCAAAAGAAACACAGTTAAAATAGAAAAAAAGAGGTATAAATAAACAATTTCCAAAATTGTTACTAAAACAATGAACAAACAAATATGTAATCCCAAAGAGCATTAAAAGTCATACACTTGAAGATATGTTTTATTTTATTTTCAAGGGGAACAGGGTTTGTATTCACTAAAGTTGGGAAAGTTGCTGCAACTGCAGTTGGGGGAAGCTTGCTCCTTATTCAGGTAAAGATTATATATATATAAGTTGAAGCTTCAAAAACCCTTTTAAATCTTCATTAACCTGCTATCTTGTTTAATGATAGCTAAATGAAAAGCATTTATTGGTTATTTGATAATACTGAAATTGCTAATGTTACATCCACCAATATTGATTAGTTTATTGAAACAAAATATATTTTAAGTACTTGCGATTTTGGAATAATTTTTGATTAAAAAGCAAATTATTAAGCAATTCCTATCATTAGTTACTGATTAAAACATGTTTATACAAGTGGCAACATTAGCAATCAATAAATTGGAATGATGTAAGAATATTAAAACTTTTTTACAAATAAACTATTATAAATAGTTCCTCATATATGTTAAAATTTAATGTAATTGACAAAATGAAGCTTGTACTTATTAAACATATATTCATAGCTAACTTGGTATTTTTGAAACTGAAAACAAGCTCAGTTTTGTGCAACAGTGATAAATAGGAACTTAAATGTATCTTGTTAGTTTTCATGACTATAGAATTAATCATTTCATGTCTGTTAAAGATCGCACAACATCAAGGTTATATCAGGATCAACTGGAATCGGCTAAACAAAGATGTGGAGACAGCAACAAAGCATGTAGAGATGCAGGTTGATGAAGGTTTCCCAAGGCTTCTCAAACAGGTTAAAAAGTTTATTCATATAAAGTTCTTCAAAAGGAATGAAAGAATAACATATTCTATTTTTTAATACAAAAATACTTTTAAGATCATTGCTAAATGTGAGAAAATGATACATGCTTTTAACATCCTTAAAATAGTTAAGGTTGAGCCAATGATTTTTAAATCACATGAGTGAGTTGTATAGGGATAAAATCAAAATTCAGAAATTAATACTCACTTCCACATGCAGAATAACTTATTTTGCTCTTGAGTTTATGCAGTCTTCCAAAAAAAGATTTTCAAATCACCTCCTTATGAAAACTCTCATCTAATCTTATGTGAAACCACGAGAATTTGTGTCACTGTATGACGATGTAATCATGCAGCAGAACCCTCTACCAATAGGAGTGTGACACACCTCCATGCTCATGAATCCTTATTCTTTTCCTCGACATTGTCATGAACAAATGTGTGTGAATGTGCTGAGATTTGCCACTTTTTTTATTTTTAACTTTCACTTGACTGAGTATAGACATATTCAGTTTTAATTCACAGTTTAATTTAAACTCTTCTTTTGCTCATGTGAGTGAAGATATTACTCACATTGAACAAATTACCAACAGTTTGATGAAAAGTTATTTTATCTGTGCAAGACTTGACAGCCATTGTCCAATTTGTGGTGGGGTCCATGATGCAAACAGGACCATCTGTTTCAGTCTCTTCCACTCATTTCTCTTCCCCTTTCTTTGAGACTGAAATTGAGGAGGGCAAATTTGAGCGACTTTTCCTTTCTCTAGGTTTTGCTTTGGAAATGTTCTTAACTACCTTATTACTCAGGTAGGTACAGTTCTTTCACTCTCTCCCTTGTCCTTTGATTATTCCCATTTTCTATTACACAACCCTTTCCCTTGTGATTTTTTTGCACCCTCCCAGACATTGCTGTACATGCCAACCCTTTCTAGATCAACTTTATTCTCATGACCTTATGCCTCATCTTACTGATTCTTAAGTCCTTGCTTTGCTCACTCAAACTTCCATTTCCATTCCTTGACACCCAGTCTTTTGAGTTTCTCTTG